TTCTTTTGATACCTCCTGGATCATTTAACATTCTGCCTAAAGCATCTTTGATTGTAGCAACTCGAGGTTTGAATTTGCTCTTCAGTTCCTTGAGCTTAAGAAATGCTCAACGAGTTAGACAACTGTAATGCCCATCATAAATAATTTTAGGTGGGTTATGAAAGAATCAGTAAGAAGTGTCTCTAGATTTTTTTAAATTAAGGATTAGAATATAAAACTAAACCCTAGATTAGGTTAATAGTAACTTTATTTTTTTGTCAAGTTCATATGTCTAATTGTCAGAAATATACTGAAGCTTCCATAGGGGGAAAAAACTGTCTAACACATGAGCCACAGGGCTTTAAGATAAAGTAGATAATATTTTTCAGAAAAAAAAATAGTTATCACTCATAGTGAGTCTTAGAGAAATTTCTTCTATTGATCCTTGACACTATGCAGTGTCATTAAACAATGTCTGCAACAACACTCATAAAAAAAGGAAATAAATGCATTTCCTTTTTAGGTTTCTTTAGGACTGGACACATTTCTGCTTCTCATTGCAGGCATGTTGTAAGGATTAGTAAACACAATTATATAAGGAGCCAAAATAGTACAGTCCTAAGTATGTAAGTTTCTGATCATAAAATATAAAATTAATGTTTAGTAGTAACCTACACATCCTTGTATCAAACACCTAATAATCTTATTTTTACAGCTGAGTTTTGACCAACATTTATCATTTTTAGTCAGCAGAGAATTCCTATATATTTTCTCAGCAAGTGCCTAGAAAATGGACTTTGCTGCCTTGCTGCCTACGGCTATACAAATATCCCTACATTTTAGATGAGTTCATCTGTGGTTTTGGTGGTATGGTTGTAGACCCAAATATCTCTACATTTTTATGGTCAGATGAGTTCTAAGTAGTATTGGCACCTTCCTGTGAAACTGAGAACCTTATCCAAAAGCTGCAGTGCAATCCTGAAGGTACATGGTTCGAATTCACCAGCTGCTATGTGGGAGAAAGATGGGCAGTCTCATCCTGTACGATTAACTGCCTCTGAAAACCTGGTGGAAGGTCAGCTTTCAGTCGGTTCTGACGCAATGCTACTCAACAATCCAGAATGTGGATCTGATTAGAAAGCCATTTTTCATACTTTCCCAGTAGATATATCAGATACATTTTTAGAAGTCATTTGGGTTCTTTAAGCTTAAGAGCTTAAGTTCACATTTTTATAAAACAAAGTAGTTAAAAAAATAGAATGTCTTTAAAAATAGTTATCTTTTTAAAATCTTGGATCTGAAACACCATTATGACCTTGGATTGTTTACATAAGTCATTGTGGCCTTTGTCATCTGTAAGAGAAATAGACCACTTAGCTTCTCATATTGCATTTTGGCCATTTTCCCCCTCAAATATTCTAGTTTGACCAAATTTTACCACTAAATTGTCCAATGTTATGATGGAGGTTACTGCAATTTTCCTAGATAATATTTTGTGATCTTATCAATATATGATCATATTGAGCATGTCAGTATGCTAGTTGTGATCATAGTGATCATGTTAATATACTGTTTACATAGAGAAGTTCATTTCATATTTGTCTGTTGACTCTTTAATGATAAATTAATTTCATATTTTCCTGTGACTCTAATAACTGTTCAAAATAATGAACTAACCAAGATCCTCTTCCTGACATAGTCTAAATGGGAAAAGACACTTCAGGGATTTAAAAAAATACACTTCGGGAAGTTTTTGTAGTTGTTCATAGAAGAGAGGAGAGTGGACCTTCATTCCAACAAATTATCTCTTTTCCTTCTGCTTAAGTCACTTGTAAGTACACTTTGCCAAAAAAGATCAGGATTTTTAAACCGTGTGTGAGAGCATAATGTAAGTGAACTACATGAATATTGTCTGTACCATTGAATAGAAATGGATTAATAGCTGACCATCCAGCATGTTTTCAGAGGATGTAAATCCCACAGCAGAAGACTTCCACCTTTCTCCTGCAGAGCAGTTGGTGGATTCAAACCACCTTTGAAGTCCCAGCACAAATCCTTGCCACTAAGCCACCAGAGTAATTAATGTTTTTGAAACAGCATAGTACAACTAAGAGTCTTAACAGTATAGGTAAATAAAGCAATTTTCACTGAAAGTGAGTTTGAAAATGCAAAGGCTGGAGGGGGGAAAGGTCTGCAATCCTCAATCCCTTTCAGAATTTAGTAAGCCTGAATTTATGGCCTATTGACTCTGTATTTAAATAATTAAATACTTAACGTTTAAAGGAAGAATGATACCTTTTCCCCTTGCATTTACTTACTAGTTACTGAAATTCTTAAAAAAATGTCAATTATCCCAATTTTAATTTCATCATCCACATTTTTATTAGTAATTAAATTATGGCAGTTTACTATGTCAGCTTAGATTTATTCTGGTTTTCATGGAATGAAACATTTACTATATAAAGTATGTTGGGTCATTCAGTCACACTGTTCATCTGTTGTTGTGTACTGTCAAGTCAGAACCAGCTCATAGATGACCCTCTAGCAAGTTTTCAGAGGCAGTAAATCATAAAGAAGGAGACAGCCCTTCTTTCTGCCACAGAGCAGCTAGTGGATTTGAACCACATACCTTTGTGCTGCAGTGCAGTTCTTTAACACTGAACCACCAGAGCTCCCTCACTGTTTATATAGTTAGTCTTATTTCTGATAAATTAAGTCTTTAATTTTTAAAATAAAATCTGGTAATATTTTTTTAAATATTGGGTTATTTTTTTCCGTCTTAAATCCTGACTCTTGGATAACATAAGTTATAGGTTAAAAAAATATTTCTTCCAGCATTCTCAGCTTTGTCTTGGTGAGGGGACATTACTATAACTGATCCATGGAAACCACATAACATGCATAAACAGTATAATTTTTTATTTAAAAGATGAAGCCTAACAGTGTTTTAAAAATATAAATTGAAATTAAGAATATTATCAATTAATAAATAGTGATGTCACCATAGTAACTTGTAATGACAGTCACATCAGTGATACAGATTTCTTTTTATAGGAATTGGCCCATGGATTAAGTGAACTCTTATCACATGAAGGCAATGTTGAAGAAGATTTCTATTCAACATTCCAGGTACTATTAAAGGCAAATAGCTTTCTACTGTCAATATATCTATATAATTGTTATTTATTATTAAGTACCATTAGAAATGATGAACAAGGGTTAATCAGTTAACCCTTATTCATCATTATGTAAAATCTTAGTCTAAAGGATCTTAACCTAATAAAGTTGCAACAGTGAGAGAAGCATGTAGGTCAACAGTTAATCATGGTACTTAAAGACACTTAGCCAGAAGAAAGGGTACTCTACCAGGCAACTGGCACATTCCGTTGACTTGGTTTTTTTCTCAGCGTTTCAACTTCTAAAAGTAAGGCTCTCCGTTATGCTGAGTGAAGTCAGTGAGTCATAAAAGGATAAATACTGTAGGAGACCACTATTGTAAAAGGTCAAGAAAAGGTTTGCACACAGAAACATTCTTTGGTGGTTAACAGGGATGAGAGGAGAAGGGAGAGTAGTAATTCACTGAAGAGTTGACACACAATAAATAACAGGAAGTGAAAGAAAGGCAGTGTACAGCAAGTGGGAGAGCAGCACTAAGGGCCAGTAACCAAGGAAATCACTGAGAGGTGCATCAGTAAAAGACAACAAAAAGTAAATAGGATTATGCACACAGCCTGCAATGATAATAAACATCTGCAAGTGGATGCATGGATAGACATGCAAATACTCTAATTACAAGTAGCATCTATGATACATGGATCAACAAGCAAGCTAAACAGACGTGAGAAGGTGAATGGGACTACACTAATGAGTGTGTATAGGTTTGGCAGAAGATAGTTTACACAATATGTGTTTGTATGTGTAGTAATTATATCCAGAAATATTGAAGAGCATATGGGGGGCAGAGTTATAAAAATGTCATAGCTATAACCAGACACTTTGAGAGAATGTCTTACTAGGCTTGGAGACTTAGCATATCACAGTCTCGGGGTCAATTAGGTCAACTGCCATAACATACTACATAAAGACAATGTTTTACCTCCTACTTTAGTTACTTGTGAATAGGTTTTTAAAAGCTTGCAAGAAGCCTCTGTAAAACTAGCAAAGGTAACATGGAGATAGCTAACTCCACAAAGGAGAGCTGTCCCCATTAACAAAATACAATAGAGTATAAAACTGATCCCAGCAACACCAGACATGTCCCTTCCACTCTGCTACACCTACTTATACTACTTTCTGGATCCAAAATTGGTTGCAAATGACCACAAAGACTTTACAGAATCTCTTTTTACTCTCAGTTGTGGAATATTAGGGAAACAGGGAAGTGGTGGGGCAAAAGATATCACACCATGAAAGAGCCTATTTAGTGACTAGCAGCCCAAGCCAGGTCAACAGCAAGACACATTTCCTCAGTTAGCTCATACAGCTCTCAGTCAACAGCAAGATACAGTCCCTCAGTTTAGGCAAGTTCTCAGTGAGCAGCAACATACTGACACAGGATCCTTGACCCTGGATCCATCTGGCTCTGTCAGGCTGCGCTTTGCCATAGTCTCCCTACAGTCTGGTTAGCACACACACTCGCTTATGTTGACCTCACAGCTATTGATGTTGAAGACGCTGACCAATGGTGAGCTGGGTATCTATCTTGCAGGCTGGAACCCTAGGGAGGAACAAAGACGGTGTATAAGAAAGCTATTCTCAAGAGTCCTACCAGCTTTTCATCTTTCCTTGTCCAGAGCAAGTGAAAAAAAAAAAAATCAAAGACTCATGCATACAATTAGTCTAAAGGGCTAATGGCCCATGCACACCAGAACCTCTTCCCTATCTAACTCCTCTGGTCAGAATCACAACAAAAAATCCTGGACAGAGAGGGAGAAAAATTTAGAGAGCAAAATTGAAAGTTCTTCCTTTTGGACTTATTACTCTACTAGACTAGGGGAACCCCCTGAGACGGGGCAGCCTTCAAGCCTGGAACTGACCCCTCCTGCTGAGGTCAATGTTCAGCCTAAAAATAGGCCTGTAAAATGAATAGCACCAGGAAGAAATGTACTCTGCAATACAGTCAACTGTATAAGACCAAAAGGGCATCATTTACCCAGTAAGGAAGCTCAGATGATGGAGAGGGCAGGAAAGAAAGAGAGCTGGTAGCAAGACCCCTGGGGAGAGCGTGGGAGGAGCCCTGTCAGGGGGAGGGACTTGCAACCAATGGGACAAAACAAAATGCATATACCTTGTTAACTGGAAAAATTAATATGCTCTGTAAACTTTCACCCACTAATTCTAGGTTTCACTAATTCTAGGTTTGTTTTTTTGTTTTTTTTAAAAAAAAATCATCTGCTGAACCCTCAATACTAAGAAGTTAGGCCTAGAAACTAGTGGCTCAGCCCGAAATTGCCACACCTCTAACAGAGGTTGAGTAATGGAGATGACGGTGTTCCACATAGCTATAAAGACCTGAGTATCCCCTGGTCTTAGTGGCCACATGAGTTAAATGTTTAACTTTATTTAGCAAATAAGATTAAGCTAAAGCCCAATTTTAAATTTTTTTTAATCTCTTAATGCTTTTTTTACCCTTTGTTCTTAATCCTTTTTGTAATTTGTATCATGAGAAAGCAGGAAAACCCACCTCATAACCTTCTGCTTTACATTTAAGACTCTCCAAACGTAGTCTTTGGAGCCTACTATTCTATTAGCCGTACCGCTAAACAAGCTATGATGACATCTCCCATTAGGTTTTCCAAGAAGAATTTGGAATCATCAAGTCCTATAATTTAAAGCCAGGAGGTGACAAAGTTCCAGTTACCAATCAAAATAGAAAAGGTAGGTTGACTATTTTTTTACTTCAAATGGATGAGTGTTCACCTACTGCTTTTAGTGTTTAACAGAAATAAAATTATTTTACAGAGTATGTACAGCTATATGTAGACTTCCTTCTCAACAAATCCATCTACAAGCAGTTTGCTGCATTTTATTATGGATTCCATAGTGTGTGTGCTTCAAATGCCCTAATGGTGAGTTTAAGACATTAAATTAATGCTTTTGGTTAGATTTCGTAATACTTTAATATTTGGTCAATAATTCTTGACCTGTTTTAGTCATTAAACTTTTAAAAGAAGGCCATGTTTCCTACTTTGTTAAAATGGAGCTGAAGATGAAAATATTTCTTTCATTTTCCCCCCTTCTGCTATACAACAACTCTGTTTTCTTACTCTTTCTTTTAGAATTTAAAAAAAAAAAAAATTAAAAATCCCTGAGTGGTTGAAGAGATCTTACAGCTTCGAGGTCTTAGTCCTATGGAATAAACACAGAAAACAGTTAAATCAGTGGAAGTCTTACTTTTTTACTGTTATGCCTGCTGCTTCTGGAGTTCCTCAGAAACTCTGAATTACCTTCTACCCATAGAAAGTCATTTGTATCCAAAGCCATGGCAGGAATATGTTGCTTTGACTTCTCTTACCATGTAGCTTTGCTATTTAGAACATCTTGTAGAAAATACTGTAAATCTCTAAAGAGCCTGTGTTCTTAACCCCAGCTCCCCAGGACCACTTGTACCTGCCTTCAGCTTTACTGTGAGGGTTCGGCATAAAGTCTTTCATGTGAATTACTTTTCATAGAAAAGAAACGGACTTTACAGGCTACTTTGGGGCAGAAGCAATTGTGTTTACATTCTCCCCAGCTTGGTTTAGAGTAAGCTTTGTCACCTGCCTTTGAAAAAGAGGCAATTTATTGAGCACGAGAAGAGTTTTATCTGTGACACACACAGTAAGTGGTAGGGGTAGGGAGGAGAGAAAGGCAAGAATTTAATGGTATTGCAACTTCCCTCTTTTTGAGAATTTTAGTCTTATTAAGTGGCAGCCTAATCTGTAGAGAGGAAAGAACAAATGAGCAATATCAGACAATGTAACCAAGAATCCAGACTGTGCAGTGCGCACTGAAAGGAGCCGGAGAGATCAGTGGATGCTGGAGTAGCTAAGGAGCTTATTCACGCTGGGTTTAGGGAAGAGTTGTACTTGGAATTCATGCTTCGTCTCTTGCTCTAGCACACTGTTAATTACCATTTGCAAAAGGGAAGCTTAATGGCTTGACCAAATTGATAAACTTTCAAAAGCAAAATTATCTTGCCTCAGTAGGAAAAATCTAAATGGAGAACAAACAAGGTTTGATTTACTCTAAGACAAGCCATTATTTTTGGTGCCTTGGCTCTGTAAAAATAGTTTCAGCTTAATTTTTTCTTTTTTAAATCATTTTTTCATCTTTTTTTTTCCTCTTTACAGAGCAATTATTTTGCCATTTGGCTATTCATACGAATTTTGCTTTGTTTTTCATTTCAGCCTCCACGTTCTAATAGAGGAGCACTCCTCCCACTTGCTCCCTTTGCTTCTCATTTTCTTCCACCTTTGTATCCCCTCCTGCCTTCTGAACTTTCTCCCTGGGCAAATCCTGCCCGTAGGATTTTGATTGATTCATTGATCTGAGGAGTGACCATTTCTGTGGCCTCATTGGTCACCTTATGAGCATGTCTGTTGTTTGGCTGAAAGTTGAACCACAGGGATGAATTTCATTCCAGGCTGCTGAGTTCCAGGTTACTGAGAGCCTTAGACTCAGGGTTTCACCAGTCGATATTAGATCAGCAAGGCTCCTTTTGTTTGTGACTTTGAATTTAGTTCCACATTTTTCTCCCACTCTGTCCCAGACATAGTACCGTGGTCCATTTCAGAATAGTTAGCAGTGGGAGCTGGCTTCAGGGTCATGGAGGTTGACATTCATGTGGGACATTCATCCTGCAGACTGGTTGTTTCTCTGCATCTTTGATAGTCCCTGGAAAGAAAAATAGTTGTATCTTAACTAGCTATTCACAAGCTTTTTTTTTTAGCTTTTATCTTATTTTATTCAATATATTTGAGATAATCATTCACATATTTAATCTTACCCTTAAAAATAGGCACTACTTACTTTAGTACAAAACAAACCCTTTACATATTCACACTTATGTTAAGTGTACAGGAAAAAAAGTTATATATTAAACACTGGTAACGTCTAGAATATTGTGAAGGGAGATAACTTTTTTTTCCATACAGTACTGTATATCTGAATTTTTTTACAACATATATTTATGGATTATTAATAAAAATTTTCTTTTTTAAAAGGTTTTTAACCCAAGCTTCTGCTGTTTCAAGGAGCCAAAAGAAAGTCTGTTCAAATATTCCTATTTTGCTTGTCTCATTAATTTATTTACTAAACCTTTTTGTTCACTCACAATATATTCACAAGCTTTTAAGACCTCAGTCATTACTCACCGAGATAGGATGTAACATTGATTTTTGGACGTTGTGTTATGCCAGTTGACCTTGATGTCCCCTCAAGGGTATGGTGCTGAGGCAGTTCATTCCCTCAGGATGTTTTGTTAGGATTCAGTAGTTTCCATAACTTTGCCACCTGTTGGCTCTAACATTTACGTGTATGTAATTACAGCATGTACAAATAGGTGTGGAGAGCTATCGTCTGACAAAACCTCCATGTAATCATGAGTTTTGAGTGCCTTTCACCTGTCCATGTTCATTCATCTGTCCTACTTAAGTTTCCAGTAATAGATTGTGCCCATTATTGCAGATAGGGTAGCTGATGCAGTCAGTGATGTTTACCTTTGTTGTCTGTGTCTCCCGTGTACTTCACATCTTTTCTTTCACTAGTGATACTGTGCTGATCACCCCCTTATTGTATATTGTCTTTCCCTTCTTTAATGGTCATTTTTTATAAATAATTCTTGGCAGCTGCTTCGTCCAGAAGAGGTTGAAATTCTGGTGTGTGGAAGTCCTGAACTGGATATGCATGCTCTGCAAAGAAGTACTCAGTATGACGGCTACGCTAAAACGGATTTGACTATAAGGTGACCTCTTTGCTTCTAGTGATGGGGTTGCAGGAGAGAGACTGAAAGAGAAAGTGATTCCTTTGCTTGGGTAACTTAAGATCTTTGAATCAAGTATTGTTGCTGTTGTTATGTGCCATCAAGTTGCTTGCGATTCATAGCGACTCTGTGTACAACAGCTCTGAACCCTGCTATGTCTTGAGCCAATTTCACTGTCTCTGACACATCTGCCCCCATTACCCTAGTCACTGAGTCAATCCATCTCCTCCAATGTCTTCCCCTTTTGCACTGTCCCTCCACCTTTCCAAACATAATTTCCCTCTCCAAGGACTGGTTTCTCCTTGCAACATGCCCAAAGGATGTCAGACAAAGCTTCAGAATCTTTGTCTCCAAGGAGCAGCCTGGTTTCACCCTCCCCAAAACAAACATGTTTGGTCTTCTAGCAGTCAATTGATATAGTAAATACTCTTCTCCAGGACCACAACTCACAGGCATCAATTCTTCTGTCATCCTTAGTCATTATCCAGCTTTCTGATGCATAGCAGATAATTGCAAAGGCCATGGCCTGAATTGGGCACACCTTAGTCTCTAGACTGACATTGTTGTTCTTAAGTATACTGGAGAGGTCCCTGACAGCAGATTTTCCCAATGTAATTTGTCTTTTGATTTCCTGGCTGCTGGTTCCAAGAATGTTGACTGTGGAGCCAAGCAAACTGCAGCTGTTAACAGTCTCAATCTCTTCACCATCTGTCATGTTACTGCCAATCATCCCAGTGGTGAGAATCTTTGTTTTCTTGATGTTGAACTTCAATTGATTTTGAAGGCTGTGGTCCTTGACCTTCTGCAGCAAATCCCTCAGTTCCTCCCCAGTTTCAGCAAGCAAGTTTGTGTCATCTTCATAATACAAGTTGTTGATGAGCCATCCTCCATACCTGATGCCACATTCTTCCTCATGGAGACTAGCCTCCCAGGTAATCTGTTGCACATAGAGATTGAAAAGGTATGGAGATAGGATGCATCCTTGACGTACACATTTCCTGATTTTGAACCATACTCTGACATCTGCCTCCTGGACGAGGTGCTAGACAAACAGACACTGGTGTAGATGTGCTCACCAAGTTGTGCCAAGAAACCTGGAGGATAACCACCTGGCCAGTTGACTGGAAGAGATCCATATTTGTCCCCATTCCAAAAAAAGGTGACCCAACAGAGTGTGGAAATTATCAAACAATTTCATTAATATCAATCACATGCAAGCAAGATTCTGCTGAATATTATCCCCAAATGACTGGAACAACACATCAGCAGAAAACTGCCAAGTATGCAGCCTAGGTTTAGAAGAGGCCATGGAACTATGAATATTACGGCCAATATTAGAGTGACATTGTTGTTCTTCAGTACTCTGGAGAGGTCCCTGACAGCAGATCTTGGCTGAAAGCACAAAGTACCAGAAGACTGTCTATCTGTGACTTGAATCAAGTATAAACTAATGGATATACTGTAGAGTACTACACTGTCTTCTTTTATCCTTAGAAAATAACATGAGAACATTAAATATTAAATCACTTAATTTCTTGGCAGAAAGTAGTAAGTTTCTGCAAAAATGTAGAGATTTGAATGTTTTTAAAAATTGCTTCAGTCTCAGAATTTCAAGTATGTTAGACATATTAAATAGCATTTCAGTTGCACCATGTTGGAAAAGGAAACCTGGTAGCATAGTGATTAAAGTGCTTGGCCACTAAGTGAAATATTGGCAGTTCAAACCCACCAGCCACTCTGAAAGATGTGCCCATCTGCTTCAATAGAAATTACAGCCTAAAACCACTTTGAGGCAGTTTTACCCTGTCCTGCGGAGAGCTCTGGTGGCCTAGTGGTAAGAAGTTGCACTGCCAACCTATCTGTTGGAGAAAGAAGAGCAGTCTCCTCACATGTGATTTAGAGCCTCTGAAAACCCACTGAAGGGTCAGCTATGAGTTTGTTCCAACTCAGGAGCACATAACAACAACAACAAAGAGTAAATGTGAATCAACATTAATTCCATAGCTGTGGGTTTACTTTTTTGGGTGTTGACAAAATAAAACTTTTAAAATTATATAGAAGGCAAAAGATAACTTTTTGTTCTATCTGCTGAGGGAGCTCTGGTGGCCTAGTGGTAAGGAGTTGTGCTGCCAACCCAAAGGCAAGTGGTTCAAAATTACTACCTGCTCCATGGGAGAAAGATGGGCAGTCTCCTCTCGTGCAATACACAGCCTCTGAATGTCCACTGGAGGGTTAGCTAAGCATTGTTTCCACCTTGGCAGCACACAGCACCACCTGTCGGACTGGAGCTACTTTGTCTCACATATTTAGGACATGGTATCAGAAGGGGCTAGTCCATGGAGAAGGACATCATGCTTGTGAAAGTAGAAGGCCAGAAAAAAAGACCAGCCTCAAGACAATGAAGAAGACGCAACATGATGCCTGGAGACAGTGTCTGCAGTGATGGGCTCAGACTTAGTTGTGATTGTGAGAATACACACAAGGAAGGTCTGACCAGGGCTTGCTTCTGTTGTATGTAGGGCCACTGTGAATTGGAATTGGCTCAGTGTCACCTAGCAACAGTTCTTGGACTACCTTTATAACTTTTTAACAATGGAAGTTGAAAATGTAATTTACCTGTATGTAAACTTTAATATTCATTGATTTTATGTGTCTTTAAGAAAAGTCTTCTGATTTTTTTTGCTCTCACCCCTAATTGGCTGAATTCTTCATTCTGGTATATGAGACTTTATCAAAACAGTTTACATGCATTTTCTTCAATATTATCTAGATACTTTTGGGATGTTGTACTTGGATTTCCTCTTGATCTTCAAAAGAAGTTGTTGCATTTTACAACGGGAAGTGACAGAGTGCCTGTAGGAGGGATGGCTGACTTGAACTTCAAAATCTCAAAGAATGAAACCTCGACTAACTGGTAAGTTTCCAGTTTGTAATTTTATTTTACTTTACTTTATAGGTTTTTTCCTAAGAGTAATAATAATTATGTATTAGTAATCAGGAGATTGATTCAGTCTCAAGTAATTTTTATAGAAGAATCTTAACAGTAAACTTGACTTTGAAATGAGGGCAGCTTTGGTTTAAAGTTCTGTGGTATTGATTTTTGAGATCTGTTGTTAGAGAGGGAATGCCCTGGCTTTGGTCTCCCTTGCCTGGTCAAAGAATTGGGTTGAATGGGACACAACAGGAAAGTCAATGCCACAGAGACACCAGACAGTGTACAGGAATATTAGTGGCCCTTAAAAGAGCTATTGTCTGACATGATTGAAGTCTCAGCATGGGCCAAGCCCTTGTTGCAGCAAACAGAGTTTGATCAGAGCCCCAGAAATGCCGTGGTCACCAAGATGGGGATATCCAACTTGCCAGGAGCGAAGGGTAGGAGGTTGGAGCAAAAGTGAAAGTAAAGACAGTACCTTCCAGAGAGAGGAATGGATCACTCTGCAGAAAGGAGAGGAGTGGACAGGATGGTAGGCTGTGCTAGGTTAGGTGCTTATATGGCCTCCTGGAGCCAAATTTATGCATATGAAGGATAGTAGTGTCCCAACTAATGGGATGATGTTGCTGGAGGTTGAGGTTACTATGTAGGCCCACTGTTCATGAGCTCTAGCGGCATGGCCCACAGGGAGTTGCTGCACGAGCCCAATGGCAGCATCTCTGGTGGTTGGAATCCAGCAGCCGCTCCATAGGACAAAGATGGGCTCTCTCCTCTGTGCACTTCACAGCCTCGGAAAACCCTCTGGAGGGAAAGCTCTAAATTCTTAACTCAAGATTGAAATGAGAGAAATCCCCTGTAATAATGTTGTTGTGCCATCGAATAAGAACGGACCCATAACTGACACTCCAGATTTTTCAGAGACAGTAAGTTGTGCAGGGTATTGTCCATCCTTCTCCGTGGAGCAGCAGGTGGATTCAAACCACATGCCTTTGAGATTGCAGCGTGGTTTCTTACCTCTAGGCCACCAGAGCTCTCCCCTAGTAATAGTCATATTTTTTTTTACTTTTATATCTATATCTCTTTGTACATCAAAGGGATAATGCTGATGATGGCTGTGCATTATTTTCTAGTAATGTTAGTGGTTTAATGCTAATCTGCTCTTTTCCCCCCAAATACCTAGAAAATACCTTGAAATTTCTAAAGGAATTGGAGTAGATGCCATCTTTGGTTGTGTTTTTTTTTTTAATCTTCTGCCGTAGTTGTTGAACCTTTTCTGAGATCAGCCAGTTCTTTCTTTCATTTTAGAGCTAGAATCTCTCCTTTCTGTCCCCACTACCTCCACTCTGGTGCAGTTTTCAGTTCATTTCAAGCTTATTTAAGCAAATACCTCTCTGATTTGCCTGCTGAGGTTCTGCCCTCTGTTAAGAATTTTATCCTATTAAATCCGTTTTCCTTAGAACTACTTTGATCATGCTGCTTCCTTGGGCAATAGATTTATTGCTCCATCAGCCTAAATTTTACAGCTTGTCAAATAAAACCCTAAAGTCTTCTCCCCAAAAATACCCTTCCGTTTTCTTTTTTCTCCTATGCTTTAATCAACTGGTATTTTGCTATTTCTGTGTGTTTTCCTCTGTGCTGTTAATTTACTTTTTTAATATGGGTGATGTTTGTTTATTACCTACCTCCCTAACTCAACTCAAGTCACCTCCCTACTCATGAAAACAAGTCCCTGCCTTGGAGGTAATTCTGACTCATAGTGATTCTCCATCAGTTTTCCAAGGCTGGAAATATTTCCAAAAGGAAATATTCAAAATGCTTACGTTACATGTTATGCCACCAGGGCTATGCACATTCTACCTTTCCTTAAAGATCCAGTTTGATGATCAATTCCTCTGTAAAGGCTTAAGCCAGTCATTCCTTCAGTGAATCTGCAAATATAGAAATCATATGGCCCTCATTCTATTTTACCTTGTATCTTAGTAATTTTGTTCCCCAAAAGTGCTTATACAACTTTGTATTCTCCCTGTAGCCATCCACATAGTAAATGAACGACTGTTAATATCAACATTAAGTTTATATATATTTTTTGAATTAAGAAACTTTTAGACAGGATTTATAAGACTGAAGATGAAAACAATTCAGAAGAAGCCTTTTCAGGTGAACATATATTGGCTTACTAAAAATACATTTTTTAGAATATTTTATATTAGCAAAAATGTTTTTACTACCACAAGTCCTCTGTCTATTTGTCGTAATATTCTTTGGCAGATATATAGTACCAGAAGATGAGCCCCTCATCAGGTTAAAAAGTTACTCAAAATACAATTGAGGAAGAGTTTCCTCTCCAAAGGGTAGAAGCAGTCCTAATAATGGAGGTGGAAGAAAACTCTAGGGACTTCAGCTGCAGATGTGTCACAACTCAAAATGAGAAGCAGCAGCTTCAAATTCCAGTAATTGTCAGAACAAGAAATGTGTTAAGTATGAATCTAGGAAAACTGGGAGCCATAAAAAATGAAATGCAATGTATAAAGATTGATCTTTTACCATAATGGTCTTATGCAGTATTGTAAAAATAGAAAGATAACTAGTAAGATGAATAGAAAAGGCCAGAGGTGGAAGGGGTGAGGGTGTAGGGGGCTGCTGAGGGGGCAGGGGAAGGGTATGATGGGGTTGTGGAGTTTGGTGGGCAGAGGGAGAGGGTGAAGGAATTAGGAAGTGGTAAAGGCGAGGTGATAGTGAGCAAAGATCAATGATGATTGGTTTTATAAAACACAAATGTATGGGAATGATCAGATGAAATAACAATGAATGAAGGAATGTTTGAAACACAATGTATATGAATCAAACACAATGTATATGAATTTTGTATGCAAGTCAAAAGAATTGTTCAACAATGAATGTATTTTTTTTCTTTTTTTCTATAATTATATTTTATTAATTTTCATAAACATTTACAGAGATTTTGGGTTTCCATTCATTCATTGTTACACTATTCTCTCTACCCTCCTCCCAGTTTGTTCTTGTCCAAATGCCACAGTGCTTGTCAAAGCCAGTTCTGATTAATCTTCTTTGTCAGTGTGTCCTTTGCCATTCCCTATCACTCCTCCCTGAGAGAGACTTCACCCTGAGTCATAAGGAAAAGGGGACGGCGTATTCTCTTAGCTACTTCCTGCTGAAAAGGGACGCTGTGGGTTTCAGGGTGAAGATCTTCTCTCACTACTCTAAAGGGCCCCTTTGGCAGTAGGAAACACATAGACTATTATGGAGACTGATTTTGGAATTTAGATGCACTCTTATTGATTGTGCTTGGCCGTACATGTTCATATCCTTGAAGCTGTATCATGGGGGGTTGCAACCTAGAAGACACAGATCAACAATGAATGTATTTTTTTAAGGAAAAAGCAAACTGGGTGAGGGTCGGGAGGAAAATGTGCAAAAATGAATAAAGGGAAATCCAAGTTTTCTGTAAACATTTGTTAAAATCACAATTAAAAAATTCTTTTTTAAAATATAGATATATCTCCTTTTAAAAAAAAGACTATTGATGGTTTAGCCATTAGGATTAAATGGGCTGATTTTGAGATTTTTGATTGGATAAACATGACTTCTGCTACCAGAAAAGGTAGATTTGAAGGTCATTTCCTGATCTAACCTGACATACAACGCTGTCAATAATAGGATAATGTCTATATCTACAATGAAAACCAATTAGTAAGACTGTTAACTCAGATTTACATACCAACTACTGTTGACAAAGCTGAAGAAACTGAAGATTCCTTTTTTTTACCTATTTCTGCATTCTGAAAATGATTAACCAGTAATCAAGATGCATTGAAAACTGCTGGTGATTGGAATGCAAAAACTGGAAATGAGGAAAGATCATTTGCTGGAAAATAGGACCTTGGCAATAGAAATGACCACGAAGTTTGGTTGGTTGGTTGCTTGGTTGCTTGGTGTTGCTGTTGTTTTAAGAAACAGTGCTTTATTTTTCCAATCAAGTGACCAAACTACTGGATCCTAAGGCCTCAACAAGTGTTGTCTTTGCTCTCGTTAAATAAGAACCTTCACTTGAGTTTTTCCGGGTACACAGCAGTTTTGTTTCTCCAGCTATTTCCATTTGTCACAGTTACCAGATAGTTTTAACTTAGTGATTTTTGCTTTCAAGGGATTCTGTCATGTAAATCCTCATTTCCAGTGCAACAACTGCTAGCTAGCAGTATTATATCAAAAGTCCATCCGTCAGGATTTCTCTACCGAGGTAGGCCAAGAAGTCCTGCTTTTGACTGCCTGAGCTTCATCTGCTGAATATGGAGAACACACAGATCTTCTAATAGAGTTTGGCAAGGCCGACAACTTACTCATTACCATTTTCAACAACAGAAATGGTGGCTATATATATGTGGCCCTCATGATATGGAATAATAAGAATCAAGTTGGTGGAAAAGACACTGATGCTCCAATGTCAGTGTGAATGGCAGAACAGATCATCAATTTCTTATGTGCAAGTTCATGTTGAAGCTGAAGAAATAAAGGGCCAAAATACAACCTTGGGTATGTTGTTGTTGATTGCCATCAAGTCAAGCATGACTCATAGTGACCCTATGAACAGAAGGCCTGAAGCCTTTCTATAGTTATCATCATTTATCAAAGTTCATGGAGTTTCCAGAGGCATGTTGTTTAGCAAATGGATGCCACTCCTGCTATCCTGCCTAAATTCAGAAACCATCTCAAGAATAAATTTGACTCATTGGAAACTATTCACCAAAGACTAGACAAGATGCAGAGTAGCATCATATGTGAAGAATGCAAATTCAGACAAAAACTCATTGCCATCAAGTCTGAACAAACTCATAGCAGGCCCACCAGTAGGTTTTCAGAGGCAGTAAATCACATAGACAGACATTGCCCAGCCTTCTGCCATGGAGCAGCTGATGGATTCAAACCACATGCCTTTGGGGTTGCAGCACAGCTTCTTACCAGTAGGCCACAGGAGAAATCCCACTAAAGAATGTAGAGTAGCAATGGAATAAATAATAGCAAATGGGATAAATAATAAAAAATAAAGTAAAAAGACTGCACAGATTTCACCAGGAACTGCCAGAATTCAAGACAAATTCAGCGGAGCACATGAAGTATATAGAATATCGTTGCTGATGTCAGATGGATTTTGACTGAAAGAAAAGACTACCAGGAAAATGCTTGCCTGTATTTTATTGACTTTAAAAGGCCAACTGTATGGATTATAACAAATTATGATGTTGTTGTTACATGCCGTGAAGTTGGATATGACTCATAGCGGCCTATGAACAATGAATTTGAACCTTGTCCTGTCCTGTTCATCGTCTCTCACGTACTTGAGCCCATTGCTTCAGTTACTGACACTTAATTGTTCTCATGTTGGACCTGACCAAAAACCAGGAGGCAGCTGTTCAAACAGAACAAAGGGATATTTGTTTAAAGGAGATTCAGCTTAAAAGATTTTCATCAGTCTTATATCTTTCCATCATGAGCGTCAAAATCCTAGCCTCCAAGGAGAGACTTGGTTTCACCCTCTCCAGGAAAGACCTATTTGTTTTCTTGATGGTCCATTGTATGTTCAAGTCTCTTCTACAGGACCAGAACTCTAAAGCATTATTCTTTTATCATCCTTAGTCATTGTCTAGCTCTCTGAAGCATAACAAGTAATTGTGAAGATCATGGCCTGGATTGGGTGCACCTTAGTCTTTAGACTGACATTGTTGCTTTTCAGAACTCTGGTGAGGTCCCTGACAGAAGATTTTCTCCATGCAATTCATCTTTTGATTTCCTGACTGCTGGTGTTAAAGAGTTTTGGTTTTGGAGCCGAGCAAGCTGTAAATCTCTTCTCTATCATGGTGCTACCAGTTGGCCTAGTGGTGAGAATCTTTGTCTTCTTGATGTTAAGCTTCAATCCATATTGAAGACTACAGTCCTTGACCTTCTGCAGCAAGTCCTTCAGGTCCTCTTACAGCTACTGTATTCCGGTTATCCTTATTTCAGAGATCATCTAGTGAGCACTCTGGTGGCTTAGACATAAGTGTAGTAACTTAGACACAAAAACTCACACAACTCTAGGATTTCCAGAGTGGGGAAGAAAGCTCCTTATATTGAAGACCTCTTTAAAGGTATTTTAAAATGTTAACAAGCTAATACATCACTTTGGGACTAAGATTTTCCTGCCTCAAGCCATGATATTTTCAGTTACCTTATATCTATGCAAAACTTGGCAGAGAATTAAGGAAGACTTATTACCGAGACATGACACTACCTGGACACAGCGACAGTGTGCCTCTAAGGGCAAGTTCAGTATTCTAACTAAGAGGGGCTCTTTCACTTCTTCTATAAGGATTTCCATCGCAGAGCCACTAGATATTTGTTAAATAAAAATGTTAAATCTTTACACATAAGAACACTGATTTTTTTTTACTTGTACTAATCTATATTTGAATCACACATGTTTCTGTCAGTTTAAAGACCTTGAACAAATTATTTAACGTGAATATATACATGTCTTTTTTTTCTCACCAGTAAAAAGAATATTAAAATAACCACTTTTTAAGTTGTTGTGACTTAAGTGAAACAGTGCATATTAAAGCATTTAGCACAATGTTTGTCATAGACCAAGCACTCAGTAAATGCTGATCTTAATGATTTTAAGTATTTTAATATAGAAACTCAGAGTTTAATTTCTAATAGTGCAAGCTTCATTTCAAATGTTCTCCTTTTCTCTGTTTTATTCCTCTGCTTTATTTTTATTCATTGACCTTTTTGACAAAACTTTGGATGTTTTGGAATTCATAAAGATTAAAGGAAAAGTGAAAATCTTAAGTAGAAAATCTTAAATGATAGAAAAATCTTAAATGAAGATAACAATGTTGTCAAGACACTGAATAAGGGAGTTTAACAAAAGAATTCAAAGGGTGAATATTATTACATGTACCTTGGAGGCAGCAGCATTAAAAGTATGGGTATCAGGTTTCCCAGAAATGCATTTTTTATTATTATTTACTAATATTATTATTACACAGTCAAGAAGGCACTAATATTAGTACTTGTGTTCCATACTGTATTTTATTTAAATAGCTCATGTAATCTTACAAAGCCTATTGGATCTTCTTTTAGGACTGTCCCTCCATTGAGTTTCCTGGGGTGTAAATTTTATCATTTAACTGCCAGGAATGTGTATTCTTTTATTCAGAGGCACACCTCCCTATTAACTGTGTCACCAGAGCTATGTCTTGTCACGTTCACAAGGAAGCTCTGATTTGGAGATCATATGGTACTTGAACCAGGTCCCACAGCTATTAAGTGAGGGGAAGCAGTATTCAAACCTAGTTCTGTCTTACTCCCAGAAGAAAATGCAGAAAATGTCATCAGAACAGAGAATTGATGGTAAACATAGCCCAAGTGTACAGAATGGTGTTTGATAGATGGTAGGTTTTCAATTAATATTTGTTCAATGGAAGAATAATTGAATAATCTCAACATTGTAAGATAAATTTCTGTGTGTGTATCCTGGTATTTTCCCGTTTTTTTTAGCATTCCTTTTTTGTATGTGTTTTAAAATATACTGTCTTTACAAAAATCTCTTTCTTAGGTTACCAGTGGCCCACACTTGCTTCAATCAACTCTGCCTACCCCCTTACAAGAGCAAAAAAGACCTGAAGCAGAAATTGATCATTGGAATTTCAAATTCGGAAGGTTTTGGACTCGAGTAACCTAGAAGACTTGAAATAGAATACTTTTTATATGTAGCATTCACTTCCCTCTTATTGTGCCTTTAACCTTTTCATGTTTCTGTCTCAAACACCTTGACAAAGCTCACTAACTTTAAAATACTGATTTTCTAAAATTAACTATGAAGTATTTCAGTGAAGGCATGATTTTCTAAAAAACACAGAAATTGCTTCCCTGGGGACAAGAAGAGGGAGTAAAGCCAAGTGTGGGTCTAGTCCCTCTTTTTATAGCACTTTATCACTCCCCATACGCAGGTGTTGCGCTGGGGAGCAGAGGACAGCAAAGGCTGCCATAGACAACCCCAGGGCCACATTGCGCTCCTCATACCCAGAAGCGAAGCAGGTCGCTGAGTTACCATTAATATGAGGCATGTAGCCAGATTTTCATATAGAGGTAAGCAACAGTGTAATTGCAAATGTTATTTACAGGGTTTTTTGATATACTGGCTTTGGTCCTATAAAAGTCTTTTCACTATTGCTGAAAAAGCATGTAAATAACTACATAAACTAGCCTGAGATCATGGGATTTTGATAGTGTCATTTATTGCTAAAGATTTATTTTTACAACGTAAATTCAGGGTTTTAGATGTGTATACAGCTTTTACAAATCAATAAAGATTGTACAAGAGTGTAATTATTTTCAGAGTAATTGGATTCACGGTTATATTCTTTTAAATATCATTGTTAAGCTGCATGCACATCGGCAGTTAAGTTAGTTCCTTTGAGTACACTGTAATATTTGTATAATACTTCTTCCTAAGGGTCAGGTGACTAGAAAATAAATCAGATCTAAGTAATATTGATAAGTTAAGTCAATTACAAGCACAAAAGAACAGTTTATATGTATATACACACATATATATATTTTGATTGATGTACATAGTTTATTTCTAATATTTTTTGATCACCACTTGTAAACAATAATTTATGGAAAATGTAGGTTAAGATATTTGACAAAAGTGAATACAATAAATAACATTTGTGTCAAAATGACGTAGCTTGGTAAAAGAAGAAGTTCAACATTTTGGCCAAAATGTTTGTTTTTCACTGGATTCTGAACATAGTAAATTCAGTAGTACCCTTTTTTGAGTGTTCTAATAAAGTAGCATGTGAAAAGAAACTGTATTTAAGTCTGACAGTAAATGGCTTTATTTTTCATTATCAGTAATTGAAGCAGTGTTATTAGCATGTTACAGATCTTTCCAATTCAAGACTTCTTTATTATACTTTATTATAGCTTTCCTTCAGAGCACTCTGAAGTTATAGTTGCAATAATAATGATGCCAGCATTTAGTACCAGCATATGGTTCACATGCAAATAATACTTTCCCAACATTTTTTTTCCTGAGTTAGGCTACTTTCTTGTTGCTCTGGTTCCTGCACCCAACCAGCAGATCTCTTCAAGGGTGGAGGGGCTTATCAGCTTGTCCTGCAGTTCAGAAGCCAACCCACAAACCTTTTCCAAAGGGAGTTACTTCCTTTGTCCTGGTCTCTGAGTCGGAAGTGACTCTGCTTCCCCACTTGGACACGTTCTTTGAAGGATTTTTCTGAGAGTTAAAGGCATATTTGGTTTTGTTTTGCTCTTTTAAACCCATAATGCAAATAAACCTGCTTCTCACACTGCTCTTGAACTAGAAAGTAAGATGTTTAACGTAGGTTAATACTAATAAGCACAAAAAGAAGTATGTATAGGAGACCAGATTTAAGTGTTTTAAAGTAAAAATGTAAACAGTTTTTTATTTGGTAGAGGTGACTCATGGAAAAATTGTGTTGGCTCGGTCTGCATGTTTTCTGATGTGCTTGTATATTGATAGCTATGTCACTTAAATAAGAAGTTCACAAGCAAGCCAAAATGTTTAGATGACCAAGTCCATAAATAACTGGAAAATTTTTGTTATCTGTTTTTATTAATTTGAAATTTATAACCGTGTATCACTAAACTGCACATTGCCTTTATTTATTTATGCTCCATTTTTTGTTTACAGTGTAATAATACCTCATTTTTTAAAGAAAAAAACATTATTGTTATAATTCATTAATTTAAACAGCCTAGAAAATTCATGTAGTTCCTTTTTAATTATAATCTGTTAATGAATTCTTGATTTTTGTATTTGCCACAGTAAATTAAAGCATTGCACAGTATTTATCAGTATTTACAATTGTCTTGTACTTTTTTCATTGTAATCATAGTTTTGTTGATATGATCAGAGTTTTTCAATAGTCCCTCTTTTTTTTTTTATAAATATGTATAACATGTTCATTTCTGGAATTTTTTTTCAAATGCTAAAATCACAGGGTCAGTTCATCTTTCTGATTCCAGCAGTTCATTAAAGCTGTGTTTAAAATGCTGTTAATACAGATTGCTCTTTGCTTACTTCACCTCCTCTGCTAGTGCTAGAATCTCACCGATGCACATAGCCTCAAAAGATGTGCTATTGTTGACACCAAGTAAAACCAACTTCTTTAGCAATTTTTTTCCTTATAAAAGGATATAGACATTCAAGATCTGGATGGTCACACCAACTCTTTGAAGTTTGCTAAAGGGATTTTCTAATTTCTTAGTGCAATATAAAACTCATTTGATGGAGGTTATTCATGTGTTCTTCAGATCTTTTCTATCTGTACAAATCTTTCAAATATTTATCGTCAGTTATTGAGAGAAAATAGATGTTAAAATCTCCCACCTTTTTCTCCCCTTAAAATCCAATCCAATATTTACGGATACTGGTTTAGAGTTCTTATGTCTACTAATGAATTGAGCTTTTATGTAGATAGCATCCTTTAGCACCCTTTTCTAATCTCTGATGTATTTTTTTTAATATTATTTAAAAGCTCACTTGCTTTCCTTTTGCTCCTAATATTCATCCATTCTTTTACTTCAGTTCATGTCTTTATGTTCCAGGTTTGTCTTTTGCACAGTTTATAACTATTCTTCCCCTTGTGACAGTCTTTGTTTTTTTACTTGAGTTTAGTGTGTTTACTGTGTTTCATGATGTACTTTCTAAATCTTAAAATGTTCTTTAGAAAGTTTATATTTTAATACCCTCCTGATTTATTACTTTTATTTACTATCTATAAGTTATTTTTAACATCAAAAATTAAACATAATTATTACTTTATATAGTTGATTTCTTTTCTTCATGCTTATAATTTCTTTGGACACTATTCCTTCTTTTCTGGTCCTTTACACCTACCTGTGAGAGAACATTTCTCCTTTTTTAATGAGGATTTGTTATAAATTCATTTTCATTTTAATGTCTTTATTCATGAGGGGGCTCTGATGGCTTAGTGGTAAGACATTGCATTGCCAGCCCAAAGGTAGGCTGTTCAAATCCACCAACTCCTCTACGGTACTCAAAAACTTTATTCATGTGAGATGGAATTATTTTAGGCATATGTTCCTAGTTGATGGTTATTGTTCTCTTAACACTTTGGATTAATCCACTACCTTTGGATTTCATTGTTGATAGGAAGAAATGAGCTGTCAGTATAATTATCAGTCCTTTGTAGATAATCTCTCTTTTCTCTCTTGGCTACTTTAAAGATATTTCTTTTGTCAAAGAACTGCAGAGCAGCAGAGACAATGTATGTGGGTCTGGAAGTTTGCTTTCTTTTAATCCCACTTAGTATTAATTATGACTTCTAAATCTATGTTCTTGTCATTTTTTATTAATTCTGGAAAATTCTTCAGCCATTTCCTTTTAGAACATCGCTCTTTGTTGTTCTCCCTGTCTCTCCTATCATACATGTGCTTGTTTCCTTTGTCCTCTCCGTCTCTCTCTCTGGGCCTAACCTGTTCTTTTACCATCTTACTGTGCTTTCCAGTGCCTGTGTTTCACTGTCAGCAGCTCTATTTGGTTCCATTTCCTTTGCACCAGCTCATTTTTCGTATTGTTTTTTGCTCCTCTGCTCATTTCTTTAATAATTTTCAGTGTGCTTGTTTGATATTGTCCTTCAGATTGTTTCACTTTCTTCAGTCACGAATTACAAATGTCCTCATTTGTTTCTCTCTTGGCCGGACCTCATAGTGATTTAACTTTCTAATTTCACTTCACTGGGTATGGTCTTGTCTGAGAATTCAGTTCCCTGAATAAAAGTGCCCCAAATGGATCTGTTTATTGTTGTTTTTCTACACAATCCACTTTTCAATTGTTACATTGTCGTCTAGGATCAGTGTTCTTTCATCACTGTGTAAATTTGGACTTCTCACTTAAAGCAGCATAAACTAAAAATACCTCAAACACACTGTTAGGAAGTTGATCCTGACTTGTAACAACCCTCTGTTGGGTTTGTGAGGCTGTAAATCAGAACAGGAGGAGACTGCCCACCTTTCTCCCTTGATATGGCTGATGGATTCACACTGCCAGAGACAATATCTTTGTGATAGCAGTGCAACTTGCTATGGAGTGTGCCGCCAGAGTTCCCTTAAAATTGCAGATTTAGATTTAGTAATGGTTTTCCTATCTTCTTTGCATGAGAGCTCTCGTGGCCTTAGTGGTAAGAAGCTACACTTCAATCCCAAAGATAGATGATTTGAACCCAGTAACTACTCTGCCGGAGAAGAAAAACCCACTCTGAAAACCTACTAGACAGTCAGCTCTCAGCTATGAGACAATTCCATGTCAACAGCACACAACGTCTTTGCATATGCAACCGTTTAGAACCCTAAAGGTTATATTAATAAAAAGCCCTCATGGATAACCTCTTCCTTATTAGTTCTGACCTTTGAGTTCTCATTTTTCATATCTGATGATTTCCCTTTCTTTCAATCTTGTTGAGATTTTTTTTTGTTGATACATATTGTTCAAAGTTTATTGAAGTTGTCATGGTAGATTTACCAGTTCCATTTCCTCTCAGCCTGTAGAAGTTTGTTCCTGTGTTTTTCTCACCCCATCATCCCCTCTTTTCACATATTCAGAAGTATATGAAACTTCTGAATACATTCTTCTCTCTAGATCATTGCATCAGTGTTTAACTTGTTG